ATAATCACAAATTGTCCCTGCTAGGGCCATTTGGAGTAATTGGAAATGACAAAGCCTAAGCCAGGGGACCTGCGACTACCTTGAAACTGAGTGGAGTGGGCAGTGCTGCACATGTATTGGATTTTGAATCAATGGTGGCGGAATGGAGGGAGTGCGTAGGCATGTTTGCTGAGCGACAGACTTTTTGCCGGCCCTGCCAATAAATGCAAATGTGGGGTACCCCAAGGTACAGGTGCCTGCATGTACGCGTAAGCATCCACAGCCCACTGCCCGACGGTCATTTTGGGAGGTGTTTGGATTGAGGAGACCTCAGGGTCTACATTTTGCACGAGTTGATCGCTGGCATTTATTCGTCGGATGTGTTCCTCCTCTGCATGTCACGTCGGGAGACAGGCTTAACTGTCTGTGTACTCAGCAATTACATGTACATTGCCAAGAATCACATGTGGCGTGCCCTCTGACGTATTTCACCGCGGACACCTTGAGAGGCATCCGACCTGCAGATAAGAGCACAAGTGTTTTCCGATGCACCGTCGAATTCGAACTTGTTTGTACACTGTGACGGTGTTTTGAAACTGGTGCGTTTCATTGGAATTTGGAACTTAACCGGTATGTTTCATCACACATGGATGAGAGACAAACCAGTCTGTATGCAGTTGTTCTCTCTTGTTACTTTTGAGGCAATGAAACTGTGGCCAACACGTGCATTTACGGGTAGAATTGTCCTGGTGTTTGGGTGAGCAGGTTTAAAACTGTCAGCCATCGGCAGGCTTCATCTTCACAGGCATCCGGCCTACATGCGTTGTTGCTCATCAAATTGATTTTTGTGTCTCGAGCACCACATTTGGGCGTTTGCCAGCGTGTTAACATTAGCACGCCTCTCTGAGTTTCTGCTTAGTTTTTGGTGTACCGATGAGAATAATGCAGTAATTCTTTTGTCAGCCGGCATCTTTTGATTCCCAGCGGGCACCCTGTAAATGCCAGCAGTTGGACATGATATCATCAGCTTTAGTCGGTGCCTGTAGCACCCTTGATTCACGTGATACACTTCTGGGAGTTGTGACCGCCAGATGAGTCCAGAAAGCTAACGGGCAGTTTCCTGGTCTTACATGTACATGTACTACAGAGTCTCTATGGTGCAGGATCTGTCCATTTTAGCCAGCAGCCCACCTGTGGAAAGGAAATGAAATTCTGTGCACCTGCTGTGGCAGCAACCTTGGGACAAGTCATCAGAACGGCTTGTACAGGAGTCTAGCCAGGAAACCCTGTTGGCAGTTGGGAGCAAAGAGCAGCGAATATGTGCTCAAGCTGGTTCTAACTACAGTAAATATACCCGTAAACCACAAGTTTTGACTGTGAAGAAGTTCATTCTAGGCCACCTCTTGGACTACAGTGTATGCGGATTTGAACAGCTCACTAACAGAGGAAGACATCATTCGCCAGTGACAACCCGGGGAGATCCTGAAAGATTTGAGGGGAGGTTCTCTGTGAATGACATACATGTACATGTATATTGCATGCAGGCCTACTCGCTGATCACCTCGGTGTTCCATCCTTTGACTGCTTCAGTGGAAACTGGTATGGAGGTGTGTCAACAGGAAACCTGCAGATGGACAATATGAATGCTTGGGGTCACACGAGGTGAAATTACATAAATGTATACATTAAGACCTACATGTAGAGTACGGTACATGAACATCCATTCACCTCCATCTTCTTTCCATCTTCATCATTGATCACTCCAGTGGCAAAACCAAATGGTGGATGGGCAGATACTGGGTACTGTGTCGGAAAAAAACACAGCACCAAGAATTAACAGGCCAAATACTGTCCCCCGGATGGATACCGTTTGGCTGTTGTGACTTCTTTTTCTGCACACTGAAACTTTGACACCTGCTGTTTGCATTATTATCCTTGTTTTTCCTTGATACACCTGTGATTATTAAGTGATTGTTCGCCCGGCACAGGTGTTACAGGAGAAGCTGTTCAGCAGATTGCCAATTCATGGCCCAAAGTGAGGAAGATTGCTAGCTGCAAAAATGTCGACTCCGAAGGATAAGGGAATGTAAGTCCTAAATTATGTGGAAAAAATTTGGTTCTCATTGAGAAAAGTAAAATGTATCTCAAACAGGATTCCAACCTCATTGATGGGAGTGAATTCTCGAAAGTGATGGGCATTATTTTTTTGTACAAAGTCGACCCAGAGCAGCAAAGAAGTGTGTTTTTTTGCAATTTCTGAGTGAGGAAAGAGAAGAACTGACTCTAAAATGGGAGGCACGGCCCGGAGTAAAAGCTATCCCAAGGGCAATTCAACTTTAGCGCCATTCCTATGGAGTTTAAGAGGCCGCCAGACATTCACGTTATAGTACTTTATCTCTACACTTCACAAACAATCAATACTGCCAGAGTGACATGGAAAGATCCTTGTTTCTTTAATTGCCACGTACGTGTATGTCAACTGTGCTATTTCACTTAAAAGGGTTTGCCAATTATGGCTTAAATGCACATACATGTACATGCAGATAACAGGTGGCAGCCCATTAATATTTATAAACAAAAACCAAGGTGTGTAGTGGGGAATAATGAATGATAGAGTTGGTCAAGTCTTGTTCTTTTCATATACAATGTTCTGTATGTATGCATGTGTGGTTAAGTTCAGAATCCTAGTACATGAGCGTTCCTTTTAAGGTTTGGACCAAGTTCCCAGCTCCATGGACCAACTTGTACACTTACATGTACCCAGTAGTTGCCACACCGCAGACCAGTCACGACATGTAAGCCAACATAGTTTTTATTGCTTGCTACACGCATCACCATGCGCATGCAGTAGTGTGCTGTTGTCCCATTGGCCAAGTCACATGCTGTGTCCGTAAGGTTACGGCTTTGATTAGAAATGACTCGTGAGGCTGTAGTGGGAGCCATTCTCTAGTGGCTGCAGCTGCATTATATGCGCTGCTAAAAGGCCGCCTTGTCCAGAGCTACATGTACGGCACCTGCACATGGACATGTCTGGGTCTCGTCACTCCACTGGAAATATGCAGAGACACCCAGACAGTAGACCTACATGTACAAGCAGGCCCAGCTCCAGGAAGCCCATTTTGGACACGGCCTATTATTCTAGATCCGGCTGTTGATTTGGGATTAAAGTTACATCGTTTAATATACATGTACACATGTACAGCTTGATGGCGTGCGAGGTTGTCATTGCTTAAAATGGAGTTTTGATTTTCCTGTTATTTTTGGAGATCTATGCATTTTGCTGAATAACAAAGACGTGCTGACTTTATGGACACACTTTGTTATCATCATATGTTTCTCCTCGTCCCAGTACTCTGAAGTATTTTTAACCGTGTGATTATTTTACTCTGCATCTGTGATGCTATCGCGCGGGTATCTGACAAAATTTCTGAAATTTTGTCCTGTACTCAGAAAACATTGCCACTACGTGTACAACATCCTGCCAGCCAGCACTGTGTCTAGAGGTCACGTAAATATTAGTTGAAAAGGTCAGCCTGGGGCTGGCCTGCATTAGCTTGCACTTCCCACTCATCCATATACAAGTACCATCAGGTCCCTTTAAGGGCTGAGGTCCCTTTAAAGGCTGAAGTATCGTAGTTGGCAAAATGCAGTCACTTTAAAAGCAACATGTTGTGAACCCTGCATCAGATAACAGAGCCCGGTGCTCCTCGCAGTGTGTCCGAGGCCCCTCTGCACACGCTCAGACAAAACACGAAGGCAGGAAAAATCAATACTAAAATTTTGCCCTGCGTGTACGTGCACCAGTGTTGACAGAGACTAGCCGGATGGGAATGCAGAAATTTTGAAGAGGATTTCAAGTACTAGCAAAGCGTTGGCCGCTGTTAGGTTTTCTCATTTGGTATTACCGGTAATTATTTTGCGTGGGTGTGTGGGTGTAGAAAATAAATATCCTCTTTCGTGGTGTTAAAATTTTGTGGAGAAGGAAATCCATAATGCATACACATTCATGGACATGTACAGTGTGTGTACATGGATATTGTGTTTTCTGTTGTACAGAACATTGACCAAAATGTGCATTTAAGAGTTCGTAAAGTTTATAAGAAGATCCTTGCAGTAGATAGTCCAAGGCCATGTACATGCTTCATGCAACGAAGTACCCAAGGTACTAGTATTTTTCTCAGCAAAAATCCGGGTTGTCAGTCCATTGTGCTGTTGACAAGTTCTCAGTAACTTTTCACTTGAATACATGTACGGTACATGTGCATGTGATGTATACATGTATGTGTATCATGCCAGAATTCATTCAAATTCGCACAGTTTGTTACGCCCGAGTTTTATCCTTAATGTTGTGTTAATGGCACATGTAGTGAGCCCTCTACTGATGCCCAGAGTGCCTACAGTACATGTACATATCATGTTCATGTACAGTATGTGCACAACTGCATTTCACAATGGTTATGCCCACATGTTTTCCTAGGCTTAATTACAGAGCAGCACCACAAGAGTTGAATAGCCGATAATGGATTCTGATAGCGATCGTGATGCATATCCTCAACATCCTTGCGATAAGTTGACCTCATGTGTTCATTATCCCCTGAGTACCGGGTATCCGTCCATTAAAATTGCACAGCAGATGACACAACCACTCCTAATCTTCAGTATCGGCAAAGACGTTTTTTTTTTTCTTTTTTTGGTTTCTTTCCTTTTTTTTTGCAGGATCCACTGAATTCTGTCCACGCACAGAGCAGAATCCCCCCCCAAATATTCTCTAAATTATCCATTTCTGTGGTGCTGTGGGGGCCAGTGATTGGATGTGAGAAAAAGCTGGGGGCTATTGTGTGTTTTATGGTTGCCATGGCAACAGCCAAGGCTGTTGTCACTGGCTGTTGTCACGGTTCGTTGTTGTGGCTGAGGTACCGAGTTGTAGTCACGTGCTGTCAGAGGCCCATCCTTCACTGGTCTGCATATTAAATTAACAAAGTTAAGAACAAAAACTGAAAAAGCTGTCATGTTTTGCCACGTCTTGTTTCATGTATGGCACATGCGTACATGTACGTGTACATATTTCGTAAATGTGCACCTAATCCTACACCACCACAATACCACTCAGTTCAGAAAGTGGTGTCAGTAGCAAGACACACTGTCTCAGAGCTTTCATGTTGGGATACACAGAGGCAGTACGTGCCTTGGCAAGGGAACAAGAAATTGGCAATTTACAGTACACTCATGAGTTCCACGTGTCCACACACCTGGTTTATGACTACATGTACATGTAGACTGGCTTACACAAAGTAGATGTACATTTACCACTAGGACGGGAACCACAGCCTGAGCTTCTGCAGTTTTTGCTCCAGCCTGACTAGCCTGTGATGTTTTTTTCATGACTCTTTTGAGTGGCCGTCAGGATTCTGTTTTTTTTTTTCCCCCGCCCAAAGATCTTTCATGGCAGTATAGCTCTGAAGTTTGAGTGCTGAACTTCTGGCGGATCCATTCTACAGAGAAGCAAGCAGAGCTGGACCTTTTTGTCTTTGCCCGCACCTGTAATCATAAGCCTGGATAAGTCTGGATCGCAGTTTGGTAGCGTTCCAGTGCTTGCTGTTGGTCGAGGAATACTGCATTCTGGGATTCTTCGTACAGTCGGTCAGCATTTGACAGCTGCTTGCTTGTGTAACTAGTGTCCGTTGGAGGTATACATGTGTATTGTGAATGCAGATCTTCTGCCAACCACAAGGTGTACACATACATGTACATGCCCCCTGGGGTTTCTCCATTTATTGTTACGCCAGACCGCCAACCTTTTGCTGACTGGATTCTGGAAATCTGGGATTTTTGTGGTCCCCTTCTCAAGTTTCATTTCTGGAAGTTTGTTCCGCACATTTCTGTGTTTGCCCGTTCATTGATTTTTCTGACAACGATGGGAGACTCTTCATCTCAAGGCGCCGACAAGAAATCGCATACTGGTGGAGATCGGTAGGGAAAAACATTCTCCTATATTTTCCTCTGCTTAAAAAAAAACTTTGTCAGTGTTTTTCTTTCAAGTATTGTTTTTAGTGATAAATCCTATTTATCTTCGAAGTTCTTCACAATATTTTGAGGTTGGTGGTGACTTAGAGTTACTTTATATGTCTTACTTACAACTTATTGTAAATAGAAATGCCTTCAAGATGTTGACTCCAACTAACAAAAATTGTACTGAAACTGCATGCAAAAATATCATAGAATGTTTTATATTGTCATGTTTGAAACTTTGGAAATCTCATTAGAATGGTTTGGAAAAAGTCGGAAGGGGTTTGATTTGAATTCAGCTTCAAATTGAAGCCTGGGTTTAAACATGACGAAAACGCAGTCGTATTTTGCAAACTGGTCACTATACATACAGTACACGCACTTGAGTTTACACTTCCAGCCCATACAGGAGACATTCAGCACATCCATGTACCTTAATGCATTGGCAACCCCTCTTGCCTGTAATTTGAATGAGAGCTGTGTGCTTGCATGCATGCATGCACAGTACCATGTGTGTACGGTACTGGGATCAATACCTATTCTGCTGTACTGTACATGTACATGTATGCGCTCATTCTCAAATATCATTTGAGACCGGACCCAAAGCCCGAGGGTCTCAGTGCCTTCTGCATGCTGACAGGCTTATTTTTTTCCCCCTGGCTGCATGCTGCAGTGCCCGCCCGCTTTGCACATGTAGGTTAATCTCCAGCCCAAGATCCCCGTCAACACCCACGAGCATGCATGCATACATGTACAATACACGTATGTGCTGCTTAGTGTACAGTGTAGGGGCCTCGATGTTGAGAATTTAATGGCTGGAACCTATGGTACTTTTCTCCTTAAAGCAGCCAGCAGGCTGAAGGCCTTGTCATCCCCTAGATCTCCCTCAGTCAAACCTTGTTGGGGGAGAAGGATGTTTAAGAGAACTCGAGACCTATACATGTACTAAGTGTGCTGATGTACGATACATGGACAGTATGGGTACATGTACATGTACGTACATACTGTGTCAATGTGTATTCATGTACATGCACAGTGTAACATCTAACAGGTGCTTGACAGTGCTGGACTGTGGTTGTGCCAACCTTGTTACCTTTGTGTAGACTAGAGAACAAAACAGGTCCCCGTACATGTAATGCAGGTTTTGTGAACTTTGTGTGGACTGAGCTTGGTCCGCAAAAGGTTTTCTCCTCTCTGGAAGACCGGGTTTATCTGGCATTTTGGGGTCGCTGCTGTCAGCAGTAAAAGGAAGAGGAACAGTTGAGGAAACTGTCAAAAAAAATTAGTCTTCTCAGAAAAATTTGTATTATCAGCAATATCACAAAAAGAAAGGAATGTCCAAATAGGTATTGCACCAGTATTGTGTCCACATAACCTCCAGTTACATTTACGGTATTTGTGACTGAAGAACTGTCTTCAAACCACTGGCGGCCTAAATGGGGGAGGGGGGAGCACAGGGGGACCAGTGGTCTCACCCACTTTGTTGACGGGGGGCATGGCCCCTCCTTCCACTTTGTGCAGGTCCTATCATTGGTTGGGGCTTCATAAATGGATCGGCCTATTAATGGCTGATGCCTTATCATGGTCTCACGACTGGGTCCCCCCCCCACTTTCAAAGTCATTCCTCTGCTGTTGTTTCAAACCACAGTCAGGTACCAGTGAAGTGCCGTTAGTTAAAGCCAGTGTGTTTGGCCATGCCACATGTAGCTATAGATTCCATGTGATTTACAGCACCTGCTGGACTGGAGGGTAGAGCAATTGGTCGACTAAACTGAAGCCACTACTGGTACCATTTGCATTGGTAGATTTCCTAGTCTTTTCCATTCCCTGGTACTCTGCCTTTATGACACAAGCCCCTTTGAACCAGGTCCTCCCTCTCAGAAACCAGTGGATGTACATGTACATGTAGGCAGGCGCAGAGCTTTGCGCTGCCTGCGCCCTGCACGAAGAAAGTTGAATGAATTGATCCAATATGTGCAGTGCTCGCCTTTGAAGCTTTCCATTAAACACGGGTGCTGTACGTGCACCTGGGCCGGATGGCGTTGTCTCTCTTTTATGGGGGGGGGAGTATTCTGGGAAGAGCTGTTGAATTCATCTTGACATTTCAGCCAGGAATGCTGCGGTCGTGGACAGGCCAACGAGACCGTGCTGGACGAAATGCCACGTTGAAGGGAACCCTAACCTGGGTCTCAAAACAAATTCCGTGGATGTGAACATGTAAATCATGTACGGGGGAATTAATTCTTGAAGTGAAAACATATAGCCATAACTCCCTTTACGCTCAAGTGTTCATGTGGATGTTTTTGTACATGAAGGGAAGAAAATTGTCATGTCGGTGATAATGTTTAGTAAACTGGGCATGAAGTTTGCGCATTCTACCAAGTACAATATCTTACTCGTTTGTACACATGTATTCAAAACAAATGTTTACCACTCCCCTACCGGTATGTACTCATACCGATATAGCACCTACAGGTGTGTAGGACGACGACCATCAACCTTTAATGTGTTGATTTCCCCTTGTACTTTATATAGAGCATTAAATGTGCATTGAACTCACTCGAACAAGTGTGTATTTGCCTGCAACTGGGGACCCCCTATTGTTCCTCTTTTGTTTGTACTTCAACTTTTTTAGAAGACCACCCATATGTTTTGTACACGGTTGTCAACCGGGGACCCTCTGTCAATCAGGGACCTTATTGTCCTCTATTGTTCAGGGTCCCCAATTGAATGCAGAAACAAACTCAAGGACACAGAGTTTTAAAGACATACATGTAATGTACATTACATGTGCATACCAGTATGCACAGAAATTCCACTTCAGTATTTCTTTGATTAATTAAATGTAAATGTTTAAATGTTGTAAATGTAAAACTAGATTGTATTTTGGCTTATTTTAAGCAAGAAAAATTCCCCTGTAAGCAGCTCTGCAAACTCATTGGTGTCCTCGTGGTTTTACTTGTACAAAATCCCTGTCAGATTAAGAGAAAAACAAACCACAAAAAACTCTTGAATAGTTTACTTTGATACCTTAGTGGTTTCCCAGTCCAGGAGCTCAGAGTCTGAATATTTATCCTTAAGCCATTGCTTTCTTATCTCACCGTTTACATATGAATGAGGTTGGTGTTCAAAATGTTTCTCATTCGGGCTTGGCATAGTTGTGGGCAGTTGTGAAAAGATCACTGTAAACATAAGTTGTCTTATAAAAACAGTTAGTAACCTTTCCGGAGTGTTGTTCATTTCAAATCGGCAACTTTACTTACATGTTAGACCCAGAAAATGTCAGTGATTTAGGTCAGTGTTTAAAAAATCTAAATGCAAGAAGGCGAAGGAGCGGTTATTTACGCAAGTGAGTGTTTACGACTGAAATGGTATGTCAAATATTCATGTTCACTAGTTGGACATAAACGTACATTATATTGCAAGTCAAGATCCTTCCGGTTAATTCTATACCAACTTCACTTCCCTTTGGCCTGTCAACTGATTGCTCATTTATTTCTGACAAGGATTAAAAATTCCAGTGCTCCTGTAGGTTTTTTTATCTGAGCTTTCATTGTTTTGTTATACTTTTTGAATCGCCTCAGATGTGTGGATTGCTTCTGAACTCATAAGGCTCATGAAATAGTTTCTATATGCACTTTCACTTTGCGTACAGTACACAGTAGATCTGGTTACATCTTTCAGATTATCTAATTGGTTGTGTAAGGAGTTGACAGGTGACATGTGATATCTTCACCTGAAAACAATTTTCCCAATTCATTTTGGCCGAAGGAAAGTTGTCCAATATGAATTATCAGTTTCTGTGCAGGTTCAGTTTGACCGACTGCATAGTGGCTCTCCCATTTGTGTATTCTTTCGGCTTGCTGGTAGCCTGAGAGCCTTGTACATGTACATTGTTTTTCACTCTGCCTACCGACTGGGGCCACTGTCATAGTGTTGCTTAAGTGAAAAATTTGTTTAAGTGTGAAAAACCTTGCTTGACAAATCAGGTTACCAGCCAATACTTCTTGTGATGTATATTGTTTTGGAATGGTACATACATATTTAGCTGTCTTTTGGTTAGCGTGACAATCATGTAGAGTTTGTTTATTAAGCAGGGTTTTTCGCGCTTAACCAAACTCTGTGCTTAAGCAGCCCTGTGAAATTGGCCCCAGGTTTGAACAAGACCAAGACTGGAAGTACAAAACAAAAATCAGAATAATAGTTCTCTGATGTTAGCCTGACCGGCTTAGTTGTGCGTGTGTTCCATTTGTTAATTGTCTGCTTTGGTTTTTGGTTCTTTACACAGAGTATTCAAGAAGAGTTGTCCAAATGGAAAGGTGAGTAACGTCTGCTGAATGTTTGATTTTCACTGGACAGAAAAAAACCACCAACATTAACGGTAAAAAAGTCTGAGTACTGTACAGTAGGTGGTTTCCTGCCCATAGTAACATAGGAAGCATTTGGCTTTATTTTGACAGTTGGTTGCTATGTGTTTGTGTTTCCAGTGGCACTGTTTTTGGAATTGGTTCAGGAAATGATTCTGTCCCTTTGTGAGTGGATATGAGGCATCGTGTTACAGAAATAAACACCCATTCCAAAAATTTCCGGACTGAAAATCTGTACCTACCGCAACTGGTACACCCGGTACGTACCGAAGCCAGACGATCGAATGTTTTCTTGATGTACATGAACAAGCACACATACTCTGCCTCTACCCTAATGTGGTGTGGCCCTGAATCTTCTCTTCTTTCATTTTTTTCGCAATAAGTGAAATTTCATCAAGCTCTCGGTATTCCAGGCCATAAATTTTGAGTTAACGCACCGCCCAAGTTCCGGTGAAATTCCATGTTGGTCTTATTTCTTGATTTTTTTTTTTCAAAGCGCACAATAAACTCTTTTAAATGGTCCCAGAAATAAAAGAGGAATTTCTTACAAACTTGTACTGTAGTTGGGTCAGAAATTTGTAAATGTTGATGTGGAATTTTCGGAGATTAAGTCGAGTGCATTTATATGAGGGAACACTCGGCTGAATTTGTGTCGCGTTCCTAAATTTTTGGTATTCACCATTTTTATAAATCTTGGACTAAATTTCATAACACTGAAATTGTCCATAAAAGTTCTAAGACATGTACCGGTACCCAATACCCTGAAGGTTGCAGAACCGGTAGGGTATTTCGGCCTATTGCTAACTGTAACTGAATGAATTTGATGAAGTTTTTCAACAATGAGGTTTGGCAACACTGCATGAGGAAAATCACGGGAAATTTAAATGCGCCTCTTCAGGGGACGCCGCCATTGGTTCATGTACAGCATTTGTACAAGTACTGCTTTGTACCCAGTCATAAATGGTATGTTACCATGTATGGTACATAGTCATGCTTAAGTCTTCCATAAAACAAGACTCTATTGTGAATGAAATTATGGACCCAGAATAACAGTACCGGTATTTCTTAACAGTGATAGGGATGTTAACCCTGACTGTCATGCATATTGTTTGGTTTTCACTACTCAGTGCTACAAAATACAAAGTAGTAGTCTGAGCCTGAAGGACCTAGCGCTACAAATTACTACTTCTGGCTAGGTTTCTTTTTAATTTTGGCACAGGCCTAGCTCGCACTAAAAATGAAAGCACTTAAGAAAAAAATAAATCATTGCAATAAATTTCAAATCTGTGATTAATGATGTGAAATGTTTTAAGCCACATTCGATAGAAAGTGAGGCATGGAACCCTAAATAGGTTGGCACCACCCTGTTTAACGGATTGCATTGAATAAGAGAGAGTCAGGGTACACGATCAAAAATGGCTTTCCTGTGAACAAGGTCTGTTGTGATTGTTGATTGACATCATAATACCAGGAAGACCCAGCTAGGGTAGGAATGCCTGTGTAAATGTTACATGTTAACAATGTGCCACCGACAATGTGTCAGGTGAGCGTTTTGAGCGACTGAGAGTCTGCTAACGAGCTGTGGAATGTACGCTGTAAACCGAGCAGCAGTAGGAGCATGTGTACCGAGGCCCGGCTAGCTGGAGGAGAAGTGAAGAAATTCATCCCACAAATAAACAGAATGTCTGTTTCCTGGCATTGGGCATCTTCATCAAGTTGGAAATGTAGCGAGCTGTCACGGAGACCAGTTCTGGGCCGTGTTTTGCATCATGTTACCCCCCCTCCCACAGTTTGAGAACTTGGCCTTTGTTGGCGGTGTGTGCTTCCTTGCAGACGGGCATTAATAGCTATCCCCATGGTTACACAGGAGACGGGGAGAAATAAGAACACATCCATTACTCACTCCAGCTGTCATGGTTTCAAAATACTGGGAACATCTGGGGAAGGAGCGTTTCTAAAGATGGCATTTTGACCCCAAGCAGTTTCTTCCTTGCTTGCTGTACGCACAGTTGCCCGTGGTTGAATAAGGCATGTACGATACATGTACAGTGGAACCTCGTTAATGAGAGGTCCTTTGGACCTGGCAAATTACCTTGTTATAACAGGAACCTTGTATCATCAGGAATGAAAACAATGAAAAAGAAAGGATTGGGACGTAACAATTTCCTTGTTATAAACAGAATCTTGCATTAACAATGCTCTTAATTATGAGCTTCGGCTCTACATGTGCATGGATGGACAAGTATTGTATAACTAAGAAGACACGTACATGTACATGTTGTGTGGATTTGTCGCTAATAATGTGCATGTTACCGCACGGGGGGGGGGAGAATGGCATAGGTTGACAAATTGTTGACAAAAAAAAGTGGAGGGCGGTGCATGGAATTCCCACATGTTGCCCTTTTAGTGGCTGACAATCCGATGTTTGTGTGATGTCCGTGGGCAGTTTTAAAGGGTGTTTGATAATTTTTGCTCCCTCTTGGTGGTGTAGAGCCAAGGGGGCTGTAGCTAGAGTGGTTGATCGCAATACCCTGGAAATCTACGAGCAAAATTGAGACGCTTAACTGAGCCGAATTGGAACGGCAGATGAATTATACATGTCAATGTACTGTAATGCAAACCTGGATGGTGAGAATAGATTGGAGATAAAACACTGACGGAACACTGTTGCTTAAATAAACAGTACCAAGTCTATATACATTATTGTCTCCCCGGTAGCAGATCTGGGTTCATTATATGGCTGGACAAGTTTGGGACACCAAAGGCGGTGGCCCTGTTACTCTGTTCTATTCCTGTATTTTAGTGAACTTTGATCCACCCTTGTGTGTTTATGGCCGAAGAATTTAACCTTGGTGTATTTACGGTCCACACCGGGATGAGTTTTTTCTTATGGGGAGGGGACAGTAACTTGGCTTCAAGCTCTTTTTTTTTTTTTCATTTGGAATTTATTCTTCCAAGGTGCCATGATTAGAGCTTGAATCATTGCTCTCTTCGAAATCTTATGTTCGATTTGACGGAATGTTTTGAGCGACGGTACTTTGTAACCATTATGTACATGTAGCTGTGTTTTAATGTACAGTTTTGAACTACATTTTGTGAAAGTTGACCAGCTCAGCCTTTGGCATCTCATGACATTTTACACGTGCACGTACATGTTGTTGAATTCATCCAGTTTTTAAGAAGCCTCCTCGTTCAGTCTTCGGTGTTGTTTTCTAAAACCCATTTTGTTTTGCCCTGTAGCCGTCGTGCTCAGATGCAGCTGGCGTAATATTCATGTACCGGTAGATGGTCCATCTGTTATTGACATGCCATTTGCCAAGGCTTTGGTGCGTTCAGTCTCGCTCGGTCCTTGATGAACATTTCATGAAGGGCAGGGCCGCATCAGAAGAAATTACAGTCAGTTCACACTCCGCTTCAACTGTGTCCCCAGAAGCATCGCGCTACACTACCGTAGATCCACAAACTGGTAAATTCGCGGACATGTACCGCATACCGTGCAGTGTCTGTGCATGCGTCAAGGTCTTTCTGAAAATTGCCAAAATGAGTTTTCTCCGGGCTAGAGAAAGCAGAGCAATTGACTTGCTCTGTTGAGCAAATAAATTTCACCAACTCACCCGATATTCCAATTTCATCTCCTCACGTTTAACACCTTCACTCTACGTTATATGCGCTTCACAGTCCATAACAGAATTGAGCGTATTTAGCCACACGGGAAACCCGCACCGTGGTGCAGGAATTAATTTCGCTGGATTTCTTGGACTGATGCAAACAACAAGGAGGGAAAATCTCTCCCCGGTGTTCACGTGAATGTTTTTGTTACCATGGACTTCAATTTTATGCATGAGGTGTGATTATTTCTTTGTCAAATGGTTCTGTTGTGAATGGCATTGCAAGGAACAATAGTACAAGATCTACTCAGTCATGTCTTAATGCAGAATGAGGAGAATATTATTTAGGCTTCTCAGCCACTGTTTCCTGATGGTGTGCGACATCAATCTAAAAACAGGCGAGGCGTACGTGTCATCTGTGATGCGTTTCAGAGGTTCCCCACAATTGGCCCGTCAGATTCAGAGCCAGTCATCGTGCATGAGTTTGGACAAAGACGGGGAGGCATAATAGTGCCATCGATCAATCTTCTGGCTACTGCCTCCCTTGTCCTGCTCTGTTTCAAGCGGATTGCTAGGATCGGGTGTTGCCGTACGGCACGACTCGTTTCAACTACAGCACCACCTCACAAGGTTGTCGTGATATCCCCACCTCGTTTAATTATTGTGCCGGCTGCACATCCAATCAGCATAATTGGCTTGTTTTTGTACCTCATATGAAGTTTGGTCATTTGGTTTCAAAGTGCAGACACAATACAGCTGTAAGATCATTTGAGCTTAATTGTGTGTTGAGCTATGCTACCCAAGGTACAAAGTGGATTTTATGGATTTTTGTAATTGTTCGGAGTGGGAAGCAATGTTGAAGTAAAACAGTGCACTGTGTTATTTTCACAGCAAGGCAGACCATAATGGTAGTTCTGGCCATTCATGTGAAGAACGCTGGGCATCTTAATAATGGTGATACACGTACATGTAAATTTACTGTATGAATCAGATACATGTGTACCTATTAGAAGAATATGCGGGTAGTTCCAGAAATTAAGGTCCACTTTTTTGTGTGTCCCTGTCACATCTGACATGATTTTGTAAGTACAGAACGCATTTTCCAATTTCCAAGAGTGATGAATTAATGCAAGTTACCTGCCAAACAAATAGTAATAGTTTGAAATCAATTCTGGTGATATTTCCCTGTCAAATAACAAAGGTCAGATGTAACAGGGACACAAAAATGTCACACTTTTGGACCCCTTATTTCTGGAATTACGCACCTACGAAAAACTGATATTGTCAGTGTCTTCTGTTGACACGTTTTGCAGTCTGAAAGACACGTGCACATATTGTACATTT